ATTATCATCTGTTCAAAAAAGGTTCTCTTGATCCGTTTGCCAAATTATGTAGTGGGATTTTGTTATTATTTCTTGTTTTATTTGAGCATTTAGGGACTAGGATGAGACAACCAAGGTCTTTCAATAATATATACATGAAAAAATATTTTAAAAGTTATAAAGACAGTTTACGCATAGTAATTACTCTAGGTAACATGTCTAAATTCTTTCCCCATAGAACAATAAACAGCATTCTGTGACGATCTCTCTCTCAGTTAGTTTGAAAAGAATAAATCCTTGATCACTCTATACACCCCCATTTGTGAGCGGGTACCTGGATGGGCCATGTCATAAATATAAAGGGAAGGGTAACCACCTTTCTGTATACAGAACTATAAAATCCCTCCTGGCCACAAGCAAAACCTTTTCACCTCTAAAGGGTTAAGAAGCTAAGATAACCTCCCTGGCTCCTGACCAAAATGACCAATGAGGAGACAAGATACTTCAAAGCTGGAGGAGGGGCGGGGGGGAACAAAGGGTCTGTCTGTCTGTGTGATGCTTTTGCCAAGAACAGATCAGAAATGCTCTTCAGAACTTCTGTTAAGTTAGTAAGTAATCTAGCTAGAAATCCGTTAGATTTCCTTTTGTTAAATGGCTGGTAAAATAGGTTGTGCTGTATGGAATGTATATTGCTGGTTTTCTGTCTTTTTGTAACTTAAGGTTTTGCCTAGAGGGATTCTCTATGTTTTCAATCTGATTACTCTGTCAGGTATTTACCATCCTGATTTTACAGAGGTGATTCTTTTACCTTTTCTTTAATTAAAATTCTTCTTTTAAGAACCTGATTGATTTTTCATTGTTCTTAAGATCCAAGGGTTTGGGTCTGTGTTCACCTGTACAGATTGGTGAGGATTATTATCAAACCTTCCCCAGGAAAGGGGGTGTAGGGCTTGGGGGGATATTTTGGGGGAAGATGTCTCCATGTGGTCTCTTTCCCTGTTCTTTGTTTAAAACGCTTGGTGGTGGCAGCATACTGTTCAAGGACAAGGCAAAGTTTGTACCTTGGGGAAGTTTTTAACCTAAGCTGGTAAGAATAAGCTTGGGGGGGGTCTTTCATGCAGGCCCCATATCTGTACCCTAGAGTTCAGAGTGGGGAAGGAACCTTGACAGGCCACACGGAGAATGCCACACTCAGGGCACACTGCAAGAAATAGGGCAGACAATCCCTCAAACTGGTGGTTTATTTATAATTAGATTCACCGAGCCAGTAACAAAAGAATAGTACCACACTGGTTAACAAGAAGCCAAACACAGTCTCCTGTAGGCAACCCAGTCCTTGGCTCTCCTCTAGACAACCAAGTCTAATATAAGGAGAGGTTACTGAAAACTCTATTCACTATACTTATAGTTCTGCCAATCCCAAAGGATCAGACACTCACCCTAGGTCAATATGAGTCTCAGATCTTACCCAATAACTGCACTGATGCCAATCCTTTCATAACTAAAAGCTAAAGGTGATCGAAGAGTTAAAGGATCAAATACATTCAAGTGATTTTCAGAGTCCATAGTTCAGTATCTGAGCAGTAATGTTATAGCTACTGGTTTGCAAAAGTCACCCTGGAATCATCCCAAAAGGTTTGAATCAAAATGCAGTTTAGATGTAGAGTCTGATAGAATCTTTTCATGAGAATTCCAGGGTAATCCAGGTAACTACTTGGTGGTCTGGTACTATGGTTTAGACTTTCCCTGTTAAAATTTAAGCAGACCGAGATGAAAGGATCAGGCCCAAGATTTCACCTTTATAGCTGAAGTGGGCTGTTAAGTGTTTTGAGCACAGCGTGTGACTGAGGATTCTTCTTTGTAGAGCACACATTATCTCATCACTTTGAAGTTAACATTCTAGTTACGATGCATACACAGGTAATCCAGTTATACTTTTCAGAGTAACAGCCGTGTTAGTCTGTATTCACAAAAAGAAAAGGAGTACTTGTGGCACCTTAGAGACTAACCAATTTATTTGAGCATAAGCTTTCGTGAGCTACAGCTCACTTCATCGGATGCATACTGTGGAAACTGCAGAAGACATTATATACACAGAGACCATGAAACAATACTTCCTCCCACCCCACTCTCCTGCTGGTAATAGCTTATCTAAAGTGATCACTCTCCTTACAATGTGTATGATAATCAAGTTGGGCCATTTCCAGCACAAATCCAGGTTTTCTCACCCTCTGCCCCCGCACACACAAACTCACTCTCCTGCTGGTAATAGCCCATCCAAAGTGACCACTCTCTTTACAATGTGTATGATAATCAAGGTGGGCCATTTCCAGCACAAATCCAGGTTTTCTCACCCCCCCCCCCCTTTTTCCAAAAACCACACACACAAACTCACTCTCCTGCTGGTAATAGCTTATCCAAAGTGACCACTCTCTTTACAATGTGTATGAAAATCAAGGTGGGCCATTTCCAGCACAAATCCAGGTTTTCTCACCCCCCACCCCCACCCAAAACACACAAACTCACTCTCCTGCTGGTAATAGCTCATCCAAACTGACCACTCTCCTTACAATATGTATGATAATCAAGGTGGGCCATTTCCAGCATAAATCCAAGTTTAACCAGAACGTCTGGGGGGGGGGGGGAAGGGTAGGAAAAAACAAGGGGAAATACGCTACCTTGCATAATGACTTAGCCACTCCCAGTCTCTATTTAAGCCTAAATTAATAGAATCCAATTTGCAAATGAATTCCAATTCAGCAGTTTCTCGCTGGAGTCTGGATTTGAAGTTTTTTTGTTTTAAGATAGCGACCTTCATGTCTGTAATTGCATGACCAGAGAGATTGAAGTGTTCTCCGACTGGTTTATGAATGTTATAATTCTTGACATCTGATTTGTGTCCATTTATTCTTTTACGTAGAGACTGTCCAGTTTGACCAATGTACATGGCAGAGGGGCATTGCTGGCACATGATGGCATATATCACATTGGTGGATGTGCAGGTGAACGAGCCTCTGATAGTGTGACTGATGTTATTAGGCCCTGTGATGGTGTCCCTTGAATAGATATGTGGACAGAGTTGGCAACGGGCTTTGTTGCAAGGATAGGTTCCTGGGTTAGTGGTTCTGTTGTGTGGTATGTGGTTGTTGGTGAGTATTTGCTTCAGGTTGGTGGGCTGTCTGTAGGCAAGGACTGGCCTGTCTCCCAAGATTTGTGAGAGTGTTGGGTCATCCTTCAGGATAGGTTGTAGATCCTTAATAATGTGTTGGAGTACTGTCTCACATCTTTGATTTTAAGATTAACTGACCCATCCACATACATGATGTAAGGAAATTAAGACGTGGCAGGGAATTAGCATCCACAAGCTAATCTGGTTACACCGTTAAACTTCTAACAAGATATAGGTAAACACAGACCAATGGATCATACACAGGTTGGCTGGTCTGTCAGTGTCATACTGTGAAAAGCCCAAAAAAACACTTAAAAGTTATGTGTGTCTGTGTGTAGTGACAACAGTGCCGATCTGGCATATGGGGACTCTGTAAACCCATCCCTATGCACAACAGAGGAAGGTCATATTCTGGTCAGACCAGAGGATCTCTTTGGAGTGGTGTGGTGCATGGATCCAGTGGACCAAAACCCTGTATGACCAAAGCTCTGAATGTTTTCACTCTTCTTCATAACTTCTAGTTTCCAACACTCTCTCTAATCCTGTCTGCAAAAAGACTTTCAGCTTTTAGATGCATACAATGGCTGTAGAAATCACTCTTTAAGTCCTACACGTCTCTATTTATTGGCATTTGGAAGACACTAACTTGACTTTCTAAAGTTCCAGTTTTGTGAAAGGTAATAATCTATTTTCTTTAAGAGGTTTAATATCGTATGAATGATCCTGACTAAAGCACAGCAGAAGGGATTGCATGTCCTGTACAGATTACTGTATAGGAAGATAGGTTTTGTTCTTTTGATGTGAGACTAAGAATCACAGATTCTGTAGAGCAAAAACTTCTAGAGAATTCAGCCCTAAAAGGCACAGCTATGTAGGCAGACAAGCCCTGGCTACTACTACAGGTTCTTGGAATTCATATTAGGTAAGCATTAGAGGTGGTTCTGGGCCTGGCATGTTGCAAGACACTGTCTTTCTGATTACCATTTTGATTTCCCACCAAACACACACACACGAATTAGGACATAATTTTTGTGACTCATGTCTGAACAACCAGTAGATATTACTGCAATATATATATATATATATATACCACCTGAAAGTCTGGAGTCTCAGCATTCAGTGCTGTGAAGCATTAATTCCTGACTCCAGCAGTTTATAAAATACTGTTTTGAAAAAATTGTCAGAAATGAAGTGGTAATAAAATGCAAGATGGTAATCAGAATGACATGCTTTTAGTATGTCAGTAGCATATGATGTGCCAGTGTTACCTGCCCTCTTCAGACCAGCAAACTTTTCCAAACCTGGGAGCAGTAATTAGAAAGATAAAAATTTCAGTCCTTGACATGTGCTTGTATCTATGTTTCAGTGCTATAGCAATTTAAGACCACCAATACCTCCTTAAAGAGAATAAAATCTCAATCTCAGAAGCATTTTCAGTAGTCCATAACAGCTATGAAATATCATCCTTTTTGTTGCCAGCAATTAGCTATAGGCCCAAACTCTCAATATACTTATACATGACATTATGTACAGTATGTACTTAATATGTACGTTCACATATCTGTGTACCATATACCTAACACAGCGACAGCAGTGCCTTTTATGGTGTCATGGGCATATGTGCCTGATAATTTAAGCAACCTGATGTTTCTTGAGCAGTATTTATGCCTAGTAACCTATATGTTGAGAATAATTATTATCAGTTGTGTTCATTAGTGATATCGCATAATTTACCGAGCATTTTTTACTGATTTTCCTGTTGCATCCTCCATGTGCTATGATTAGACTAGGATCTTTAGCTCTATGCTGTTTGGTTTCATGTCTAATAGGTGCTTTTTTCTTTTTAAATTAGAGGAGATCTTGAAGACTCATATAGCACATTGGTGGTCTCCTGATGGCACCAGGTTAGCATATGCAACAATAAATGACTCCAGAGTCTCTACTATGGAAATTCCAGTCTACACTGGCAGCCTTTACCCTACTGTTAAAACATATCATTATCCAAAGGTAAGGGAAAATATAAACAAACAGTCAACAGGTTTTGAATTTTTCATGGTTTTGTTTCCAGCTGACTCTGATATGGTAATGTATAATAGAACATATTCATAAGCAGTGCAATGAACAGAGAAAAGATCATTCATTCCCCATTGAACTGTTAAACTGTGGTCTTCACTATTCTTTTGCTGCCTTTGTAAAAGTACATTTTTCTGACGCTGCTAATAGTCATTCAAAAGTGTAAAAAGAAAAAATAAAGTCTAAACTCTTTCTCCCTCTTGTACCTGGACAAAATCAGTTGTATTTTGATGCTAGATGGGGCATGACTACATCTGAGAAGTTGCAAACAAAATTATGATATTTGTTGGTTTTGTGCCTTTACATCAAAAGGGCAATCAGGAAAATTTAGTACTTAGACTTTCCTGTAAAATTCAAGATGGGATAGTAGACAGGACAGATAGGCTTCTGAAACACACCACACCTTTGCTTTAGGGAGACAAAATGAATTAGGGATGAAAAGGGCCAATCCTGCATTGCTTTGCAGAGCCCTACAGAAGATTGTCACTGCAGGTGAACAGCATTTGGTGCAAATCTCAAGCCAGTGTGGAATATTATTATTACTTTCTGCTGCAGTATAGTATGTTGTTGTACTGTACTGCACAGCTGCTTCCTGTAGACATCTCACTTTGTGTGGTGGTCCCCTCAGATCTCACATGCTAAGCCAAGTCAAACCCAGCTACTCCTGAAGATAGGAGACATCAAGAGAATACATAGATGCTGCAGGAAGTGTTGCTGATGATTCAGCAGGAGGCGCTCTTTCACATAAGCCAGTGTTTAACCAATGTCCAACATGGGGCTAAAGGCTACCCTGCCATTTTCAGATAGGGCATCAAACTGAGATCCTGACCCTTGTTACTAAAAATACCATGACATTTTTCACAAATGTGGTAGATGTTATTGTCAACGTTCTAGCCAAATTTCAATGTGGGCCATTACATCCGACCATCCTAAGTTCCTCACACTTCAATGCCTGCTCAAAACTGTTGTATGCTTTTTCTGTGCATTGTTAAACAGTTTCTGCTTTCCAGCCCAGGGGTGGTTGCACTTCATAAGATAAGATATTTTTGTGTATATTATGATTACAAAGCATTTTAGGATCTCTTCAGATAAAAGGTTATATCTATAAATGTAAGGTGTTATTTATTGTCATTTTTAATTTCCAGGCTGGAATGGAAAATCCAAGCATTTCTTTACATGTCATTGGTTTGAATGGCCCTACCCATGATCTGGAAATGACTCCCCCTGATGATCAAAGAATGAGGTAAGTTGCTTAGTATGTTATACTATTGCTTTACTTCAAAGATTACCTTTATAAATATTAATTGTACAGCCTTTTCCTCCACTGCTATTAAATGATTTCATTCTGTGCAAATAAAAAAAAGTAACGACTTGAACCACTTGAAAGTGATTTTTCTTCTTAAGTGTGATTTTGTATAAAGGTTATTTTTGTTGGTTTGTTTGTGTGTTTTTTCTCCTTAAAATCATTTTGCTCAGGATTAGCCTGAGGGCTATTCTGAGGAAACTCTTTAGACTGCGCTAAAACCTGCACAACAAATTCATTTAATGGGCTGATTTTAACTGTTGTAAAGACAATACCTTAATTACAATTTTCACCAAATATGGGAGAGCTCCAAACTAGACATTGGGACAGACATATAACCACTGCAGCGCAAGCACGAAACTCAGCTGGTTTGGCACTCAAACATGAAAATGAAACCAGGAAGGCTTTATGCAAATGTTTTTAGATCCAAGAACCTTTCATCAAAACTAGAAGCAAAATTTTTTGCTGTTTCTGCATAGGCTTCAGTTTTTAGAAAGTAAGGCCCCAGTTCAACAAACTAGTTAAAGATGCGCTTATCATTAAGCATGTACTTAAGTCTATTACTATTCAGCAAAGCACTTAAAAACCTTACTGGGATTTAAGCATATTCCATGGCAAAAAACTATGTTAACACAGAGTTAAGGTTGCTTGGTGATATGTCATCCCCTTGCAGAACACTAAGTTGAGCAAAACAACAGACTTCTGAAAACCAGGACATGCACAGTTGGGTTGCCTATGTAACCTAACTCTGCCCTCTTTCAGAAGTGCCCCAGTGTGCCCTGTTAACACACACACCTTTACTCTGACTAGTCTACAGTTTCTGAAATGTACAAAAAGAAAAGGAGTACTTGTGGCACCTTAGAGACTAACCAATTTATCTGAGCATAAGCTTTCGTGAGCTACAGCTCACTTCATCGGATGATGAAGGTGCCACAAGTACTCCTTTTCTTTTTGTGAATACAGACTAACACGGCTGTTACTCTGAAACCTGAAATGTACAAGCTGCTCACCTTTTACAGCCCATCGACTCCCACCCACAGGGTTCCATCCAGTACCATTAAAGGAGAAAAAAAGGTTATTAAATCTTTATATTGCCCAGGTGTACAAAGGTTTGGACTAGAACTGTCATTGGTGGGGTGCTCACCAGGGGCAACGATGTTGGCACAGTCTCTTGAGTTACCCAGGCAAGTATAAAATGGTTGCATAGAAACCCTCTCATGGGTTTTTCCTTTTCTGGTGCACGTGTACTGTAACCACAATAAATCTATGCAAGTGAAGAAGTGTACGTTCTCTTATACACCATTCACTGTTTGGGTCCCTCAAAGACTTAGTGGGTGCCATGCACTACCGTGTGTAAAAACTGGCCAACTGAGACCATTTTGACCTGCGTCACAGCAATATAATAGTTTGCTCTCTAGTGCTGTGCAAAAAAAATCCACCCAGAAACTTTTTGAAAAATAGCTCTTCTTTATGGGGCCTATGTTTCTGGAACTCCTGGCTCAACTGACGCCACGTTTGGGTCACTAACCCTATCTTACACACCCATGAGGCATAGAAAATTTCACGATAATCCATGTCGGCATGCGGATTTCAGGGTATTTTAAACTGTCTTCCTTTGCATAGGAAGGATAGAGGCACAACACAGACATAAGGCTCCTCTAAACAGGCATCTGCAGCATAGGAAGCTCTGAAAGGTGTGAACTGGCTCATTCACCTGAATGTAAAAAGAAAAGGAGTTCTTGTGGCACCTTAGAGACTAACCAATTTATTTGAGCATGAGCTTTCGTGAGCTACAGCTCACTTCATCAGATGTATACCGTGGAAACTGCAGCAGACTTTATATACACACAGAGAATATGAAACAATACCTCCTCCCACCCCACCTGAATGTGATGTTCTCAGTTGAATGAGAACACCCCTTGGAGATTACTACAACCTGAAACAATAGCTCTGAGACTTGTGAACTACTCCATTCATCTGAGCAGGTTTTCCCTTCCAGCTCCTGAGTGCTTTAGAGCCACCCTGTGATATGAATGAAATATGCCTGTTCTCAGCTCCCTGCTCAAAGGGAAGGATTTCCGCAGATCCTGGCTCACATGGATGCAGGGAGGGAGCTTCAGACCCTCTCAAAAGGGCAAGCCCTGCCCCCTCAAAACCCAGCTCATGTGATGGAGAGTGGGGGTCCAACCCCTACTGGTGGGCATTGGACTCTCAGACACTAGCATACACACAGGGGCAGTGAGAGGGGCTCAGGCACCCCCAGAGGGGCAAGAGCCCCCCCAGAACTGGGCATACAAACAGTAGACAGAGCAACATGGGGCTCACAGGCGCCCCCGCACCTATTCTGCCACAGTCCTCCTGACACTTATACCTCATACCCCTTCCCAGTGTCTCACTCCTCCACTCCCACCAACTCCCACGCCTCCCTCACCTAAGTCCCAAACCTCTCTGCCCTTTTTACTCCTGGGTGAATTCTGTGCCACTACGTGTGTGCAGAATTCATGTCCCCTGCAGATTTCTTTGCTTCCATGGAGAAAAATGAGTTCTGATTGGGAAGTGAAGGGAATCCTCATGAGCAGTCATGCACCCCACCCCATCAGCACGGGCATGTCATTTTGGGCACCCAGAGCAGTTGGCAGAGAGATAAATCACCGTGGGGGTGGGAGATTGGGGCTGGAGATGCCTTGGCTTGTGGCTCCTACCGTGTATCGGGCTCAGCTGCTAGTCCCAGCTTCCCCTGTAAGGAGAGGCCACGGCTGGGGCCGGCTAAGACCCATCCCCAGAAACCTCCCCCAGCTGCAGGAAGCTCTGCACCTCCCCTTTACCCTCTTCCCCCTGCTTACTGCCCCCATCGCTCCTCAGCTGCTGGGGGAGGGGTCACTGTACTGGGAGCTGCTCCCCTGTTCACCCAACCCCCGTGCACCCAGACTCTCCCATGACCCCCCCTCCCCCCCGCCGCCGCCAAACCTCACCCCCCTGACCTGGACCACTCCAATGAGCCCCCCCCCCCACAGACAGATCCCTACCCCACCAAGCCCCCCCTCTCCTACACCCACCCACCACTGAGCCCCCCAAACCCAGACTCCCCCTGCTGAACCCCAATCACCTTCACCTGGATCCTCCAGCAGTGTCCCATTGCCCCTTCAACTGGAACCTCCCAATGAGCCCTTGTGCATCCAGATACCCCCTGCAACGAGATCCCAACACTGAGCCACCCACATCCAGATTGACCCACACAGAACCCTCACACCCCGCACCTGGATTGCCCCACATTAAGCCCATCCACACTTCAATCCTGCTAGCCTGAGCCTTCCTGCCCACTCCTGGTGCACCTGGCACAGAGGAGCAGGGCCATGGGGTGTTTCTGAGGCATGGGCGGCCCTTGCACTGTGCCAGGTTTGGGTGTAGCCTCACCACTGAGTTTGTGTCCCATGATCTCCCACCTCCATGCTCCTCACTGCCATGCTGAAGCCTCCCAATTTATTTATAGACAAAATTTGCAGAATTTTGCAGAAAATTAAAATATTGTGTGCAGAATTTATATATTTTGATGCAGAATGCCCCCAGAGTACTTTCTGTATCAACACCCCATTTATCCCCCTTCCCTTACTGCATCGCCAAACACCACTCCCCCAATTTCCCCACTCCTCCACCCCCCTAATGACCCTTCTCCCACCCAGGAAACATTCACATATCTAATTTTGTCCCCAGATACTTTCATTACATTCCCCCTCAAATAAAATTGCCACCCATGACTCACTAATTGTAGCCACCTCCAGGCACTCAATCCAAAATGCCTTTTGTCTTATGTGGGGGCTTGTGATTAACTTATCCTTAATTATGTTAATTGAAGGGTAAATTCATGGCCATCAATCTCAACAAGGTCTAGCTGTTTCTCTGAACTGGCACATATACACTGTAAAAAACAGTAGTTTTCTTAAATACTGGTCTCAGGTTGGGTCCCCAAATATTTAGTGAGTGCCATGCACTTCTTTGGGTAAAACTTGACAAATTGAAACCATTTTGACTCAAATCACTTCAGTAGTTTGCTCTCTAGCTCTGCACAAAGAAAACCCACTGAGAAACTTTTTAGTGAGCTGTAGCTCACGAAAGCTCATGCTCAAATAAATTGGTTAGTCTCTAAGGTGCCACAAGTACTCCTTTTCTTTTTTTTGAAAATTGCAATCTTTTCAGGGGCTGTGTCTCCAGAACACCTGGCTCAAATGACCCCAAATTTGGGTCACTGACCCTACCCTGTACGCTCCTGAGGCATGCCAGATTTCAAGGCAATCTGACTAATCATGGCAATTTCAGAGAATTTATGTACAAAGGTTGACTTTTAAATAGAAGTCATGATGTAATCTTAACTATGGTGACACTGCTACACCACAATAACTCTTAAGTGCTTAGCTGACCTGGGGCCTATGTGTTGTGGTTTCTTGAACACTTGAAAACAAATCATTATACGGCTATAAAGAACAGTGTAATGTTTTGGCATAAGAATTTATTATCATAATCAGTCTGCCTTCAGGGGAGAAGAGTTCTAATCTGCTGCTTTAGCTCAAGTTTGATGCAGTCACCTACAAAAGCCTGGAGGCCAAATCCTGATTTCATTTATGCTGATGTAAATCAGGAGTTAGTCCATTGACTTCAGTGGATTTACACCAGTATAACAGAGATCAGAATCTGATTCCATGCCTACACTGCCACTAATGGTCCCTCTCCAAATATTAACAGAGCACTTTGTGTGAATGTCAAATACAATTTGTAAAGATCTCTTCCTCCAGGATATTAATTTGTGTATGGTCACCAGACAGATATACTGGTACCTCTGGAATATTTTTAATTAGATGTTGGGCCTCCAAACAAAACCACACCAGCCAGTAGGCACTGCACAAAGCAGATGAAACTTGCCTGTTTGCCGGGGGGGAGGGGAGTGT